AGCCAATATTTTGGCTATTACATTTTTTTTATCCCACCCTTCCTCCAAGGAACCCAGGGTGGCATGCGTCGTTTCCCTCTACCCCATTTTATGTTCTCAACAACCCTATGAAGTAGGTTAGACTGAGAGAGAATGACTGCCTGAGATGACCACCTCAACTCTGAAATGTGCAACAATTGCTGTATCAACTGATTTCCCAGTGTGTGGATGAGAAAAGTAGCAGACACTGGAGGAGATCTCTACACAGGGAGCTCCACAAGTACCCAGAGAAAACTATGCCTTTGTAAATTAATACCCCTTCCCAAAGCCTAGTGAGGGCTGAATATCTTCCATGAAACAGAGAATACTAAGAACCAGCTAAGGGAAATGGTGGAAACATAATCAGCCTAAAACCCCCAAGAACATTATAGAAAGCTTGAAAGAGAAAATTGGGTGTGGGTCTATGTAGGGACTTTCAATTTGTTTCACTCCCTTAAGAGCCCTCAGCTTGTAAGACTGAAATACTAAACAGCATGCAATGATTAGAATAATAGACTAAAAAAACTGGGTTCAAATCCTCTCTCAGACCTGAAGTAAACTGGATGACCGCTGACCAAGCTTTCTCTTTCTTAGTTTTGCCTAACCCATGGGGTTGTTGCGAGGATAAAATGTAGGACGAGACAATCACATATACTACTGTACAAGACCTGGGAGCACCGATGGGATCTGGAAAAAGAGAGAGAAACGCCTATAGCTCTCATCCCTCTTGAGAAAGCTCTGAAGCTTCGCCCCCCGACCCAATTCCCACAAACTCACCTTCCCATTCCTGGGGCTTCCATTAACAAAGAGGGTGACTCTCCTCATGTCCCCCTCCTCAAAGTTATTGATGCTCTTGTGACTTCTTGCCAGCCTGGCTACAAACACGGAAGCCGGAGCTTTTTGATCACCGGCCAATCCCGGGCTGACTCTCCTCTTGCTTTCCTCCAATAGGAATCAAAGTAGAGGTGATGGACAGGTCTCCCCCGTCTTGAGACGACTTAACTGGGAGCTTTTGCTTCTCCGAGCAAGAAGAGGAGTGGCTTGAGAGGCAAGAGCCTATCGAGACGCGATTAAGAAAACGACGCTCGAACGGGACGGCTATAGTAACCCCGCCCTTCTTTTACCATAGATAAGGTTAATAGTTGGTTTTGATTGGTCGAGAGAGTGTCACGTGGCCTGACTGTAGTCTTTTCAAATCAAACACGCAAATATTATCCATCCGCCGTCCCGGAACTTGTTACTGGGGGAAGCTCTAGTCAGTACCGGTGTTGTGTAGGAGGCTCGGTCGGATTTATTACCAGTCGCCGGTAAAGTAGCCCTGATACTCGCGTCAGAAGAGAGCGAAAGGTATGTTGGGTGGAAAGGAGAGCGATGGTGGTAGCGGAGGGATATTGGGTTCTGGTTGCCATTTTGAATGGAGCGCGGGAGAAGGAAGCAAGTAAGTGGCGGCCGTTGCTGGGTAGTGGTTATGGCGAAGTAGTGTTGCTCCGTGTTTAGGAGTACAGACTGGTTTGCTGAGAGCGTGGTTTTCCTGTTCTTGACTTTCCACACGGGCAAGTCGTCGTTATTTTGCATCTGATTCTCAATATGACCTGAGACGTAGATAAATCTGCGGAGTAGGACGACGGCTAAAGAAGGCAAATCTTTCTTCAGAGTTGAGGGGGGACCCCAAGTTTTCGGGGAAAATCCGAACTTTTGAAAGCAAAACGGTGTTGTTGTTGTTGTTGTTTTAAAAAAGAATTTTCCAAAATGAAGAATGGTTGCCTGTCTGAGTGTAGGAGACGCGTGTCCCATCCCCATGGGCTCACCAATGCCCTGGAGCACCGGGTCGCCCACCCTCCTCGTGGGTACATTTTGGTGCATAAGGCTCATTGTCTCTGATATGAAGTCCGTTGATTATTCATAAGAGATTGTGGTACAACATCTGTGTTCTAATTCGTTTTGTAAAATTGCGGGTACTGTGGCTCAAGCCACAATGGTTGAAAAAGTTATAATATACTTTCTTAGACTTTATGGGTAATCAATTGGTTTTATACATAGTTTTTGTTGGATTGCATCTCACACTGTGTACCACCCTTTAATTTTTTCTTTATTTTTAACATTTTTACCCCGCCCTCCCCGCGAACGGGCTCAGGCACCATAGGGGGTGGTGGCTCAGGGCGGCCCTACCTGAGGCAGGCTGGGGAAGGGGCGAGGATTGGATCCTCCCCCTGAAGGTCTCGTGGGTCTCCAGCGTCTTATACCTGATTCCGAATGTTGCCCTAGATGCGGATTCTGGCACGTTATTAGGGTTGAGCTTGGTTTGTCTTGGGGGTGCCGTTGGACTCTAGCTTTATTCTCTTTGGTAGCTCTTGCATTTACGTGCTAATTTGCTGCCATTCATTGATCTTACCGGCCACCTTATCCAATTTCAGCTCTACTTATGCATCTTGGCTTTGAGTGGCCCTTCCTGACGGCTGCCCCCTACCCTCTCTTTTCCTGTAAATAGGGCTTGAGGAGTTTTTATTCCATTGTATTTGAAGAAGTGTGCGTGCCCATGAATGTTTATACTTTGAATAAGACTTTGTTGGCCTTAAAGGTGCCACTGGACTCAAACTTTGTTCTGCTGCTTCAGACCAACACTGGCAGTGTTTGTTTAGGGTGGGAGGGAGCCCGGGTCGCTACAGGTTCCCTTGCAGCCCAAACGCTGCCAGCATTCAACTGCTCTCAGTCTCTATGGAAGGGGGAGGTGGGTGCTGGTGGTGTTTGATGGTAGTCATTGTTGCAGAAAAGGACAGCACGGCAGGGTGCTGCTTTCTTTTTCCCCCTGCCCCCCCAGGGAGAGAAGCTGGTAAGCAGCTCCAGCCAGGCAGAGGCACTGCCCTTATTTCCATTATTCCCTATACCCACTTAGAAGGAAAGTTGTGTAAGGGGGGTAATTCTTTCCCTGTCCTTCCTTCCCCACCAGGTCCCAACCCCAAGGAAAGAAGGCAGGCAAGCGGAGGCAGTCCTGGGGATCCTATGACAGTGGCTTTCCTATGCCCTGCAACTTTCTCATGGGTCTCAGCTTGTTATAGGTAATTTGGAACGTGACTGTAGATGCTGATTGTTAAATCTGTAGATTAGGAATCATATCCAGTGAATCAATGTTTTCTACAAACCTGGGACAATGTCCAGATTTGCAAAAAAATCCAAACATCAAAAAGTTTAATTTTTTTTACTGTTTGTGTGTGTGTGGGGGGGGAGAGGATGTAGAGATGTCATGATGCTGTATCACAGATCTCAGCCACCAGTTGAAGGAAGACACCATTCCAGGGAGAGCCAGGATGAGGAGTCACTACTCATTGGTGAGGGAAGGAGGGTGACTATTCATTCTGCTACTTTGGCCATCTCTTCCTAAAAGAAGGCTCTTCAGGGACTACACAATGGTTCAGCAAGCACTGCTAGGAGACCCAGATGGTAGGCATTAAACACAATGCCCAAGTAAATCAGTTAAGGAAACACACAGAAAAAGTGCTCATTGAAAAATCAGTTGTTTCGTAATTATTAGGTAACCTGTCTTAATTTACTGCTCAATTAAATAAATATGGAATGGCAAACTGTGAACTTAAACTAACTATGGCTGCGGTCACACAGAACATTAGCCACGCTACAGAGACGGAAGATAGGCGGATTTTCTGGGCACGATCACACCACCACATCTGGGAAGCGTAGAGCTCCCGTGCCGAACCCGAGGCTTCCCGCCAAAGATGCGGGGTAAAAAACTAGTACCTCCGAGGTATTAGTTTCCGGGAACCGCAGGGCAAGGGCGGGCGCCTGATTGCGTTTCTGGTGGAATCCCGTGGCATCCAGCGCCCGCCCATGTCCCGTCGCGAACAGGTTTTTCCCCTCAAGTCTCCACAAGATGTGCACAAGCGCCTAACGGCGCATGCGCACAAAGAGGCCCCCTCCCAGTGCAGCCAGGCTTGCCGCCTCTGGAGGGTCGCTATGGCCACTGTCACGCAGGCGGTTAGAGTGGCTGTGACGAGGGGGCCCACCTCCTTCTCCATTGCCTATGCCTCGGAGCTCTGTTGGGGTCCGGAAGCGTCTGTTGCCCTCTCCGGTAAGCCCACCACCCGCCTTCGGATGTGCAGATACAATTGCTTGGTCATGCGTACGCACAAACTTCAGTTAAAAAAAAAAATCCCGTTTGCCACGGAAGCGGCGCCTAGCGATTGCTGGTGTGATCATGCCGCGCAGCTTCTTTGTCGTGCTGCAGGATGGTCGTGTGATCGGCACCTCCCCCCTAAACACGGGACCTCGACGGGATGTCTGATCGTGCAACTGCACGTTATTTTGCTCCGGAGCAAATAGCCACGCTCCCTCCCCCCCCCCCCCCCCTTTCCTCCCCCCGGGGGCGGGGGTTATATGCCTTGGAAATAAGATCATGGAAATTAGTAGTCTTCAGAAATTTACTTTCCTTCATATTTATATATATTTTATTTGTGGTCTAAAGAAGACCCAACTTTTGTAAAGATTTCTTTAATGCTTTGTAATGCCCATTAATTTTTTTATTTTATTTATTTGCATTTTTACCCCGCCCTTCCCGCGAATGGGCTAATAAGACTATCTTCCAGTTTTGAACAATACAAAGTTGTATTGTTCTTTGCTAATATTTTCACGTTTTCTCTCAAAAGCAGAGCAGCTACAGCTTTGCACCATCTTGGTGTAGACAATCAGGACTGCTGGTGACTGAGCTGATACTCTTCAAGAAATGATTAGTACTGCTGATGGATCAAAAGCAACAAAGACTTTCCCAATGGAAAACTTAAGTAATAAGAAGGTGCTTTCAGAATGCAACCAATACTTGGGACGTGGAGTCTGCTTCAACAGTGCAAAACAAAAAGACTGTCACTCTTCAAACCACTCATCAAACTTTGCAAAAGGAAATGTACCAACAAATGCATTTACATTCTCTATGACAATGAGCAGCTTGGGAAGCCCTCCTCCTGTAGATAAACCAAATTTGGGGGGAAATTCAAACTCTGTAACTTCTGATAAGGGTGAAGGAGAAAGAAAAACAAACACTGAAATGATCAGCCAGGCGACACCTATAGACTATTCTGTTCTGACAGCAGCTGATTTTGGAATTACACCAGAATCTTTTACAAAACATCAAGGTAAGAGCTGTGGATGTCAGAAATAGATTCATAAGGCGTCTTTTGTGCAGATGGCATTCTGCATAATTTATGTAGGAATTAACAGTAGCTGTGAATTGTTGAGTATTTGGGATATATTGAGCAGTAGTAACTTCTAAACTATGTAAACAAAACAATCCAGAACAGCACTGGAAGCCTTCAGCCAAAGAATAGGCTGGTTAGTTCAGACCTGTATGTCAAATTCAGTAGTCCATAACTTCTCTGCCCTCACTGACTCCTTAAAATTACTTGGTTATAATGTGGTAATGGTAAAAGTAAAAGCAGCCAGAATTCTCCCTTCCATATAACTCTTAAAGGCACAGAAGCCCCTCAGAATCTGGCATCCTGACCTTCCCAACCCCTTTTCTCCAGATATGTTTTGCACACCTGCCATTCACTTAAGTTCCCATAGCTCATTAGACTGCTCCTTTCCTTCAGTGATCCTCCCTTGTGTCCTTTCAGATCTCTGCCTTCTTGTACATCTTTCCTTCTGTCTCATACAGCTCCTTTCCACAGATCTTACAAACCAGCTGAACAATCTTTTACAGAAACTAGGCTGAGACCGTTTTGTAATTGACAGCTTTGGTATGCTTTCACTGCTGTTTAATTTTCTTCGAAATTGGTGTGAGAGGGATGGGTTTTGAATTAGCCTACTGTCTATATGAAACACACAATAGCTCACTGTGCATGGACTGCAAGCGTTTAAAAATTTCCCTTCACTTTTATCTAAGTTCTGGGGTTGTGCAGTTGTAACACATTGGTTGGGTGGTATGGTGTTTTCTTTCCTTTAGTGAAGGCAGACTTTCAAATATGAAACTGCTGCTGAAATGCAAAACAAGTGTATTAGCTTTGTTGCTTTATTACCAGGAGGTCTACCATTCTTTTCAGCTTCACTGAATGTTCACAATAGACTGTCTTTTCTTTCAGGGAGGGACAAAAGCATATTAAACAAATTAAGGCGGCAATCTACAATTGGAGTACGGGGTTCTCCGGAAAATAATGCTCTTATCAGATATATTGCTCACCGAAAAAGAATGAGGACTGAAGATTCTCCTTCACAGGTAAGAATATGATATCCCTGGGATGGGAATGGAGTGGCTTGCTTGAAGATGTTTGAAAATGGATGTTATTTGATTCTTGGTGAAGCCTAGCTTGAATGCTGAAAGGGTGTGAAGTATGTAATCCCCCTGGGCAAAAACACAGACTGCTGGCCTTTTTAAAGTATGAGATGGTATACAGCAATCTTTGAGACCATGAGCAAGGGTTTTCATGTTTTTGCTGATGAAAATCTGACTTTACCATTAGTCCTGCCCATTTCCCAAAAGTGATGTGAGAGATTGTCTGAAAAAGGTACCATATAAATTGTGTTACCAGTGGTGTTAGCAGAATGAAAGCTTATGTGGAGGCAGTCTCTTGCAAAAACTATGGCAAGAATGCAGCCTGTTACACCAATCCTCTATCCTGTGGAACTGCTATCAACAAAGTCTATGCCTTTTATTGACAATGGGCTTTATGGCAATTTTGCCATCACAGCAATGGTAACCCAAAGTCTGTTGCTTTGCTGTTTCCCTGTTTGTTATACTGAAGGACATAAGAGGGTGTACTTGGGGACCTTTAAAATAGAGTAATTAAAATTTAAAGTAACAGTACCATATCTTGATTGAAATACAGTGTGCTAAATTCAAACGGGGGTGGGTGGTGGGAAGGATAGGTAAAAAGGAAAACTGGGCTTAAAATTAGTTTTCCAGAACTGCTGTAAATTTGGCTTTTCCCATCCTACAACTGAATAACAAATTCTTACAGTCTGTGCCTTATTTATGTCTTCTATAAACCTAAAAAAAATGCTAATAAGACAATATATATACCAAGTTCTAGTACGCAATAGCATGATAATGGTAAAGCTAAACATTTGAAGTATAATGGAATGGGGGAAGTAGCAAGTTAGAGGGTATGGTAGAGTGCTTTAGAAATAACTTTTCCTTTGTATATGGTATAACTGGTATTGTATATGGTATTGGTTAGAGCAGGGGTCAAACTTAAGGACTGTGGGCTGGAAGTGGCCCGCCCATGGCTTCAATCAGGCAGTGGCTCTTTTCTTCCCCTCTCCTCCCTCTCCTGTCCTCCCTATTTGAAGCTTCCTCTTGTTTTTGCCTGCTTCGGCAGAAAGCTCTTCTGGGCTTGCAAAGTTACAAAGGAAATACAGAATGTATTTTTCCATTAAGGTCTCTGCACCCAGATAGACTACTCTGGGATTGTTTCCAGCAATATAAACAATGCTCTGGGACTGGAATGACAGGGTGCAGAGTGGAATGACAGCTCCTGGGAGCAGCAGCAGCATTCTGGAAATGGAATTCCACTCTGGGGGCCCTCATTCCAATACCAGAATGCTTCTGCTACTCCCAGTTACTGTCATTTCACTCTGGTGGCTGTCATTCAAGTCCCAGAGTAGTCTATCTGGGTCCAGAGACCTTAATAGGAAATCCATTCCACATTTTCTTTGCAACTTTGTCTGTGCTGCAATGTATTTCAGTGGAGTGGAGCTCAAGAAGTTTCATTCTCCAGTGTTTGTGTAGTTGAAGCTGTTGCTTGCTGGAGTTGTCTCCTTGCAAATACAGGGTTGATGTTTTGAGCCAGCTTGTCTGCTGAATGGACTTGAGAATGGGTGCCTGAGTGAGTACTCTAACCTGGGAACCCACAGCCAAAGGGGGACATTACACTGCAGAGTCACTGCCACTCTGAGTAGACCTGAGGGGGAGAGGAGAAGCTTGCCATGCCCAACCATTTTATGTTTCTAGGCTCAGAGCATTTTATATTGTTTATATTTTTAGTTTCTGCTGTGATCCTTGTGCTTTTTCTTGATGTTTTATTTTCAGAATTGCATTGCCAAACCCCACTATTCCCCCACCTTTCCATTTTATGCAGGTATCTTATGGGAGGGAGGTTTGGGAGATGTCAGTTAACAGATTGTTAAATAAACAAATATTGCAAGACTTTTAAGCATGTTTCACTTAAAATACAAAGTGAAAAATAATATCTTGTGTTTTATAAAGTTTATATCTCTGCTTCCTAGCACTACATTTTATGACACACATGGCCTGGCCCCACAAAGTCCCATTTATGTCAGATCCGGCCCTCATAACAAATGAGTTCAACACCCCTGGGTTAGAGTGCTGGATCTGGACTGGGGGGGGGACATAGGTTTGAACCCTTAGTCACCATGATGACCCTTATGAGAGTGGAAAAGTAGGGTGTAAATTTTGTAAAATAAGACGTGACTTGGTGAGTCACATTCACTCTACCTGACCCCTCTCATTTGGTTATTGTGAAAATGAAGTACGATAACCTCCCATGTATATTCCCTGAGCTCCTTGGAAGGTGTGAGGATTAATAATGTAACTATCAAACCAAGGCCGTTCTGCAACAAAATCTTTTGCTTTTATTAGGTTTGTAATGTTTGGTTCAGAAATCTCCTTATTATGCTTTTTTTTAAATAGGCCAGTCCTTTTCAACGAAATCTTTTATTGAAAGATAAAATAGCTGCCTTCCAGTCATCCTTTCAGGCATTTGAAGAAGCTGCGGAAGAAATGATCCATACACCCTACACCTGTAAGTAAGGAAATCTTAACCTAAAATATGTTTGGTGTTTGCCATTTACAAAATTTGCCATACTTGGAACTTAACAGTACAATCCTAAGAAGAGTTACCTTTTTAAGTCCGTTGAACTTAATGGGTTTAGAAAGGTTTAGTTCTGCTTAGGATTGTAACTTTTACTGAGTACCTGATTACAGTAGGATTTTTTGATATAGCTTATTGAGTACCTTGGTCATGGCTTTGCATGTTGCCTATCTTAATAATTTAGTGATATAAGGAAAGTTTGAAGCACTTGGCATGCCAGTATCCTGCTTTGCGAGTGGCAAGTCTACAGTTCAAGCCCTGGCCCCAGATGTCAGATAACTCCTGGGAAGAGTTTTCTTTGCCTAAGACTCTGGAAAGCCACAGTCAGTCTGATAGAAAATATTTAGTAAAATGGACAGATTACGTGACTTGTCATAAGGCAACTTCATGTGTTTATAGTAATGTACATGTTTTAAAATATCTTAAATGTAGCAAAGAAAGCTGGCAAAAGATCACATGAACAGTCGCAACTGGACCAAGTGGGACCATCAGAATATAAGGCAGTTGTTCTTGAGGAAAGTCTAAACTGTAAATCCACCAATGGAGAAAAGAATTCAGCTGATACTCAGGTACACGAGTACAGACAGTAGAATCTGTATTTTTTTCTAAGCATTTAAAAGCTTTTGTCAAGGATGTTCTTTCCCTTTCTAGTGTGCTCCTGAAGTTCCTTTGCAATAAAACAGCTACTTTGAGGTCACCCATTAAATGTCCTGGAAGGCTGAAGTGTTCTCCTGCAGGTTTCTCAGTCCTATGGTTCTTGATGTCAGATTTGTGTCCATTTATCCTTTGGCGTAGGGTTTTACTGCAGGCTGTGGAAGGTCAGTAGTTCAGCAGTTCGAGACCCGAGTGTGCCGCATGATGGAGTCAGTGAGCTCCCATCTCTAGTTCCAGCTCCTGCCAACCTAGCAGTTTGAAAGCAAGAAATTGCAAGTAGATAAATAGGTACCACTTTGGTGGGAAGGTAACAGCGTTCCGTGCGCCTTGGTGTTTAGTCATGCTGGCCACATGACCACGGAAACGTCTTCGGACAGCGCTGGCTCTTCGGCTTTGAAACGGAGATGAGCACCGCAACCCTAGAGTCGGATTCGGCTGGCTTTCGAGCAAGGGAACCTTTACCTTTTACCTGTCTAGAAAACCGAAGGGTGTTGTTGGCATTTAATGACATATACAATGTTAGAAGATGAGTGTGTGAATAATTAATGTTGTTAGGTCTAGTGATTGTGTTGTCTGAGTGTATGTGGCAGCAAAGTTGGCATCTGGGTTTATTGCAAGCTCTGGTACCGGTGTCCATGTTCAAATGAGATGTTGTAGTATTGTGGGTGAGGAGTTGTTTGAGATCGGAGGACTGTCTGTGCAAGAAAAGGTTTGGGGGTATGTTAGAGAGGACAAACCTCTTTCACTGCAGTGGGAACCACCTCCACTTTCCTATTATCTTGTAGAAACTAAAGAAGGACTTGTTTATTCTCAGGAGGAGGTCCAGCAGTTGTAGAGCAGATGGTGCTTTCCTTGGCTTCTTGTTCTTACATTCTTTCAGCCTTGAAAAGTACATCTAGTGGATTGTCTGATGCAATGGAAGATCCTCCATGGAAGTGTCACTTAACCAGCTCCCTGACCCATTTCCCCCACCCCCATGTGTTTCTATTCTGTTTCTGTTGTGTGGTCAGTATTTCAGTCATGTAAACTAAAATGTTACATCAAGTCTGAATAGTCTTAATTGCTACTCCTAGGAAATTCCAGTCCTGCACCCAAATACTGTAGAATCTCGATGTTTACTGTTGGAAGCTACTCCAGCTGCAGGCATCTCAAATACAGCACGTGGTAAGAATTAACTGCTACATTTTTACAGACTTATCTAAACAGCACTCCTCCTGGAAGTAATTTGTTACAAAAGCTGAATCTCACATAAATGTCACTTTGTTGGGCTGGGCCATTTGTGCCATAAAATGTAATGTGGGGTACCAGTGATATAAACTTTATAAAAGATATAAGCATACCCAATTAATGGTATCATTTTTTTTTACTCAAAATACAAGCATACTTAAAACATTAACACCCGTACAGTATTTCTTATACTTAACAGTCTTTGATAACTGACACGCCTCGCTCTGAATTATTGCATCAAAATCTGGAGTCAACATCTGTGCTGTGGCAATCTTGAGTGTGCTGTTTAGGTGTGTATCTGTAAGCTGAGACCATACCTCTGATTAATTGACACTTATTACAGAGAAGAACTGTTCACATACGTTGTCCCAAATAGAGACATAATTTTAGAAGCAAAAGCCTTAAGTTGGGGGTAATTTAGACCCCAAAACTGGTAAAATTTGCTAATGCCAACTTCAGAAAGCTTATCCTTCAGTACAGCATCATTCTGCTCCCCCACCTAACTGCGATTTTTGGTATCCTTTCATTGGTACATAGGGAGCGGTGTGAATGTCCCATTTTATTGACCGTACTGACTCAATATGTGTAATCTACCTTGAGTATGCCTCCCACCTTAGAGAAACTTCCTGTGTATCCCCCATCCCCACCACAAGTAATCCCCGGGGTCCTCTTCCCTTTCTGAAAATACACTTCCCCACTACACTAGATCAGCAGCTTTTTTCTCTGCAACCCTGTAAGCATTTTTGTGTGTGAAGCAGGGTTTCTTCCTCCCTGAGAGAGGTTCACCCCAAAATGTACACATATAATTTAAACTCTCCAAGGAACTGGAGCAGCTGCCCTCAACACTTGCTCAATCCACCACAAAAGTTATGAACCCTCCACAGATTCAGCAACTACCTGTCAATGACCAGAACTCCTCAGTCAGCCCTTTTCTCCCACCACTTAGCTCCTTCTAAGCCACCAGAAAGTACTGAATTGTGTCAGAATGAGAGCCATAGCATCTCTCCAAAATGAGCTATTGTGCTCATGTGCCGTTTTCATCAAGGCAGGGGACCACCAGTTATAAACAGTAGCATAAAAATTCCAGTGCTATGTGATCTTAGCTTCTTGGGCAACCCTACAAGAAAATGCTACCCCATTTCCCCTATACCTAAAAGTCACTGGATTGTTTTGGTACTGTATTTGTAAGAATTTGCCTGTATAGTACTAATAGGAGAAACAGAACTAAGTAAACACACCAACTTGCTGGCTAACTTTTTGTTCTAAAGGTATTCGATCTCAAAACACTAATGAAGAATTAAGTACCTGTACTATATCACAACAAAGCTGTAAGAAGGTCAGATTTGCAGAGAAACAGAGCCTGGAAATATTTGATGAAACCAAGCCACCTATTACCCCACTGCAGAAAGGACAGTTTCTGTCCACGTACCGTGATAGCTCCTGTCTTCGTTCTGTTCTGAAGAAAACACCAGTAGGGATGTTAGCTGAAGATATGAAGGTGAGTGTGCTTAGGTATGTAGCATTCTGCTTTCCAAATACCTATGGTAGTTAGCGAAAATGCTTCCGCTTCAGTTTAAGTTTAGAGTCCATTTGGCCGGCTCAGTCTCTGTACTGTACCAGTCACTTTCAGCAGTACTAATGGAATTTCCAGTCTCTTCCAGGCCTCAAGCACTAGAAATGTGCATTCAGTGACTGGAAAATTCTGCACTGATTGCCTTTTAAAATACAGATTAATATATTTTCTACAGATAATTATGTTCTCCCTTTTTTTGGTCAACGCTGAGCAGGATGCCCAATAGGAGCCATCTGGGGCAAGTTGGGCCCTGTTAATTCTTTGTGTTACATGCAAGGTCACTCATCTCATCCAGAGTCAGATCATGGATGATAAGTGATGTTCACCATTGACTCTGTACCTGTTGTTATCAGGCATGATTGCTCTCCATCCTGAACCCGTAGCTCAAAAGGGAAGGGGAGGGAGAGAAAACTGTGAACTTTGGGGCATGCCCTGTTAATCCGCCCCTATGTCCTTGCTGAATTCGCTTTCCATTGTCCCTTAAAAGCTCCATTGCCGGAACTTGTAATGCCCTTGACCAGTTCACATAATATCTCAAGGCACATTATCCACATAGCCTCCTGTGATCCCACAAATTATAAATATGGAGTGTTAACAGCAGCATTTTTTTCAGGATAAACCACAGACTTGTGAAATTATTGCTAGGCAGCAGTACGCTTTGAATGCATATGTGGTGGTGGCTGTTCTAGATTTCACGATCATCTGTGATAGTAATTGTGTGGTTTGAAGTATGGATGGGGGGCAGCTACATTTTTTCCTCCACTTTTCTATATTGTGACCTAGCTATGTGCTTAAAAAGAGTTCTGAGGACTGATTCTGTGTAGGGTATTTTGAAACTGGGCCTTTTCATAATTAAATTATTTACGTTGTTGAAGTTTGCGATTTTTAATGGCCAGAAATAGCTTTTACAATGAAATAACTGAGTATAATAGTACTATGTGGTCTGTTGTAGATTAACTTTTAGATCACAAGCCAAAGCTTTTATTCTGATCATTGGTGCATGAATCGATGCATATACTTCCCCATGTATACCCATCTGTTATCAGGTTTTACATAATCAGTTAGGAGTTACCTATTGGCTAGATCCAATAGGAAGAGACAATATATAAAAGCATTCTTAGAAATAATAATGATATTACTGCTTACTGTTTTATAGGGACATCTTGATTATACCAATACGAGAAAAGGAAGTGAAGAGCTGTCAGTCTTCCAAAGCCGTGATCCAGTGCAAACAGGTTCAAAATCCCCCTCCCAGCCCCCAACCAGAACTGTTTCTGAATACTGTCCTACTGAAGTTTCATTGACTCAAGTAGAAATGCCGAACATAAAATGGTCAAAGTCTTTGTCAACAGAACTTTAACATGCAAATAATATGTTACAGAAAGAAGTACCAGACCAATTGACAAAATGGAGGCACACAACAAAGAGGTAGATGTGAAAGTATTTGACGCATTTCAACCTGTAGATACACCAGTACATAGTGGAGAAGCATCATTCAGTCCATCTGCAACAAGAAATGACAGCTCTTTTAACACAACTCCCATCAAAACAACCTTGTCCCAACCAAATTTTGACAGTGATGATGTAAGTCATGTAGCTCCCAAAAATCTTCAAAGTAGTTCTGTACTGTTTTTGATGCTTGGAATCTTTCCCCTCCCCACTTTCTCTTTGATAAGCTTAGATAGCAAGTTCTGATGTGAGCAGCATTTTTTTCCATGCATGTATTCACTAGAAGTTCTGTTTTTTACATCTTGTGCCTTTTAATACCGGAATGCTTGCATGGTCTTCCTGAGTCGGGTTTAGCGCTGGCACAAGCACGGCTTGTGAAGCCTAACTGTGAGCTTTGCATGATAGTTTGAATTAACCAACCATGGGTTTTGATTGACGGGCAAAGCAGCAATCATGATATAAAAACAGGTTGCCAGCCATGGTTTGGTGTGAAATGGCCGAATTGGAGATGTGTGTACTGAGTAGGCAGAAAACAGACAAGCAGCTCTGGCTTCCAAAGTTGGTAAATTAGGTGCTCAGATTGTGACTTGGTTCTAAACAATGGTACTTGCAAGCTGTGGCTTGATGCCAACTGTTGTTTGGTGTGATGGTTGAACTGAACCACTGCCTCAGAATGTTGTGCAGTGTCAATAACTGCTGTATCTGCCTGTTCAGATTTTGAAACTGAATTGGTCAGGTATACTAAAGTTGTAGATCATTGTACTGGCCCATGTAAATTCCAGAATAAAAAACATGTAATGAGTTTTGTTAGGGCCAACCAAATAACACAAAACATTTCGCTGGCTTTTGAGCTCACCAAACCATATTTTACAAACATAAAAAGCATTTTTAAAAGAAGGAAATAAGCAGATTTTTAAAATAAAAAATGTTGAGACCTAAAGACCGAGGCTTGTGAGCATTTGATGTTAGATGCTGACAGGCTTGTGATTTTAATGCTATGGAGTTAGATTGCTGTACTTAGATTACAATACATTAGCCCTTCCCTCAGTATTTTGTACCATGTATATTTGTGTTTTGTTCAAACTGCGTGTTTGAATTTGCTGCTTTTATTACAGGGTCTTCAAGAGACATCAGAGGTAGTTTCCACCATTGAATCTGTTGTGAACTCAGGTGATATGGAAGGTAAAGGGGTGTGTTTTATTATCACAAGGTAGATACAGAGGTGGTGCATTCACACGTTACTTTGGGGAGGTAATAGCTGCTTCAGTATGCCTCAGACCCATGTTAGGTCAGTCGTATCAATACATGAGTGGATGGGCCAACGGAAACTGGTTACTTATGCCCATTTGGCTGGCAAGGGGCACAGTATGGTTTCTGTTTACAGATGTTCCAGTGTGATGTGGAGCAGAACCTTGCTGAAATGGTTTTCATGCCACAGTAGTAACTTATTAATTGGCTGTCGATGCTGTTTTCTGCCCAACATCAACTGTGAACAGCTCTTCTTTATGCTTTACGTATGTACTAAGTGTGGTTTATAATTTGTGAATCTAAATGCTAAACTGTAACTGCCATATAGTAGTAGTTCTGGCCTACCAAGGTAAATTCATGACGTTTACTAAATGCGTATTGCTGTAGGCATAGATTGAGGATCACATATTTTTCTTTCATTGCAAAGCAAGAATTGTCCTCCATATCTGCACTGAAGTATCGGCATGGATATTGGAATGTTTCTACCAAAAAAATGCAATCTTTTAGGTAAAGGCATTGTCAGAAGCCCATTGCATGTTATGCCGTGAACTAAACATATGCAAACATGTCTGGGATGCAGTATCAACATATGGATGTAATCTGAGTTTTTATTCTCTATTTTAGAAACAAAAGTAAGTTCTCCTGATCTCCATGCTGCATGCATTAGAGCCACTCGGTCCTCTGCTAGAAAGGTGAGTAAAATTGTCTTTCAGTGTTTACGTTATGGTCATAACTTACAATTAGTAATAAACGGAGACAGGAAATGTATTACTTTTTTAAAAACTAGTAAAAATTATAAGAAAACAGGGATTTTAATGTTCCCTTCTCTCAGTTCTAGCTGTGGGTAATGGCGCTTATAAACATATTTCCTTTTGTATATATTATGTACAATCGACACTAAAAAGTAATCTTTATAATGTAGTAGCCTGTAGACTTACTGCTTGACTTCTTTAATGGATGGTTCCTACTAGCAGGTCAACAAAGTAGAAGAAACGAGTGTCAGCCTTACAAGACAAATGCGAACCAAGAAGACTCGTACTACCAGTGAAGTCCCAAACCCTAGAAAATTCCAAAATGAAAACTCTGTAACAAAGTCTTCTAAAAAAACACCTGTACGTACATTTAAATTGCAGATGTGAGAGTTCTGTTCTGCCTGTGGGCTTTTTGTGCAATTTAATTTGCTTGGAATTAGTACTGGATTTGCAAAATATATTCAGAATATCAATCTTTTGAATGAAGGTTGTCTTGATTAGAGAATCCTGCTCAGACAGCTGTTCTTAAATTTGCCATTTGTTAGTATATTAAACTTGTGAAATGCAGTATTGGAAGGATATTAGGCTAATAGCTGGGTTAATTTCTTGATATTTGATCCTATATTTCTTTTAGTGTATCCTGTTATTTTGTGTGTGTGCTGTTCTCCAAATATCTTACTATATATTGAACATCTCTAAGAATATGAGAGGTGCCCTGCTGGATCAACCTAGTGATCTAGCACGTTCTGGTTCGCATAGCCTTCCAAGGCTACTGGTTGGCCACTAACAGAGTTTTAGAGGCCAGGTTGCTTTGTAGCACTAGTACAGAGGTTTAGTGCCTCCAGATGTGGTGGGTCCCTTCGTCACCATTAATGGGCCTATCCTTCATGAATCTGTCTAATCCCCTTGTAAAGCTGTCTATGCTAGTGGCCATCACTACATCCAGTGCCACTGAAATACACCCTTCTATGCTGTCTTCTGAATATCTGCAGGCTTCTAGGCGCAAAGCATTTGGAAAGAGGAAAAGGAAAAAAAAGACACAAAAAGTATTTCATGGGCATTATGAAACGGTGTCCAAGAAGCCTCTCTTGAGTCCAATTCCTGAGATGACAGAAGATATTTCCCTTATTTCATCTTATCAAAGCACACCAGAATCATCAGTTTCCATCTTAGGTATGTGTGTACCCATTGGTTGCTTTTCTGGTTTCTGATAAATTGTAAATCGCATGCTGGCCTAAGCAGTAATGTCCTTTTCCATCGCAAGGCTCTGAAGTTTAAAAATCTATGATGCTACAACAATACTTGCACAGTTTATTCCTAAAAATAATTACTCATGGACTTTGGAATTTGAATTCTGAGGTCTCTCTAGCAACCCTTAGCAGTCAGCAGCCTGCCCCAGGGCTGTGGCTGTCTAAGTCCTATACGATATCAAAGCAGCTAAGCCAGAAAACTGAAGAGAAGGCAGAGAAAATGGGAGGCCAAGGAGGTTTATGGAAGACCCAAACGACAACCCTTTATATTGACCTGTTCTTTGTTAAACTGGTTATACAAACTGTTATGCATCAAAACATTTTAAAATTAAGCTGCAGTGAGAAACTCTGAAAGTCCTGATGGCTTATTTCTGGCACATGATGACATAAAGCTGGTAGAATGTCAACTGTAATCCAATATAGTTAGGAGGGCCAAGATCATCTTGATCATCTTTGCTGCAAAATGTAAGAAATCCTCTGAAAAACTTGAAACAGTTGCATTGTTGAAATACCGGTCTTTGATTTCCAAATACAAGGGTTATTTCTTAGTAAAACATGGTTTGTTCTAATCATTTTTTTAGAACTCAAAACCACGATTCCTTTGGAAGAGCAGTCAAGCAAACCATGGTTTTGAGCTGTCTGTTTTGCCCATCCATCTTTAGGTGCAGTAGCCTCCAGAGGTGTTGCAGTGGCTGTAATTGTGATTTCTTAATTCAGACATTACACGAAATTATAGTTAAGGTCTTCTAATAATAAGCTTGTTGTGTATGAATTCAACCTATGACTTTACCTGGTACTCAACAGTTAAAACACAATCAAGTTCCTTCTCTAATTGCAACTTTCCTAGATCGTTCTTGTTCCAGCCTCGTACATGAAACACCCGAAGAGACAAATAGCATATTGCATAGTACAGAAGAGGGTGGTAACTACCTGCATTTCGACCTAAGTGCTGTGAAGGAAGATGCCTTACCTGACACGGACTCATGCTCATTCTTACAACTGCAAGATACTGTTCCAAACGACACACCAATCACATTTCCTTTGGAGCCACTTGATAACGATTCTCCTAAAGACTTAAAGAATGCCTTAAATGGACAAATGCTGAAAAGCGACTATTCAAGTGAGAGTGAGATGGAACTGTGTTTACAAAACCTGCAAAGAACTGGTGAAAAAAACAGTAAAGAAGCTTCACTTCCCATTGCAGATTCTGCAGTAGAGCAGCCAAGTGGAGGTGACATCTGCGTGAACGTTAAAAGATTTCCAAGGAGAAGCAGAAGAATCACCCGCTACCTCCCCAGTGTTGAGGATTTTCAAGCGGAAACACCTAGAAACGATCCCAGTGTTTCTAGAGGTAGTATAGAACTACCTTGTATGCCTCAGACAGTAAACGATTCTGGATTCTTAAATGAGGTACTGTATGCTATCGAGGAATCTTTCAGAAGCGTAACCAGTAGTACTCAAAAACGAGTGAGACGCAGCATGAGGCAGCTTAAAAATGCAGAAAGTGAAGGCCTTGCATGGATTTCAGTATCCACTAATGATTCTGTGGATCAGGCTCTGGTGAGTTCTGACTACAAAGCCAGGAGAAAGTCATGTGCCTTCTGTCATCCAGGATCAGAGATGCTGCATCCAGAGCAAGAAAACTTGGTCCATATTCTCACACCAATGATGGAGGATCAGAAAAGTGCTCGTGTTGGAGTTGAGCATTGCAGATCAAGGAAGAAAAGGAAGAGCATTTATTCTCAGGGTCAGGGAGAAAATTAAAATAGCATGTCATACATACAGAAGAGCAAGCCTTGGGTATAAAAGCGATCAAGTGTTACCAAGGATTCTAAACAGCTTTTGAAAAATTTTAATGATAAAAAATATTCATTTTATCTGTTCCTCGCCCCCATTCTCAAAGTGGCTGAATTTTTTCATAGCAGCTCCATTAACATGTCTGGAATTCCAGTAGCAGAAAAGATTAATGGATGTTAGCCAGAATTCATTTGTACATGCCAAATATCAATCAAAAGATTGCTGATTGAATAAATGCTGTGTAACTTCTTTTAAAATCTAACTACTTGTTTGTTTTTAAAATGTACTTATTTGGTATATCTGAACCTAGATGTTTCTCCTTGTAGCTTAGAGAAGTTTAAATATTATATACATTTAATGATCTGGAATTCTAAGTTCATTACATTTTGAAAAGTAGAATGAGGCTTTTTTGTGCTCAGTTGTCCAGACAGTTAATTCATGACCACTTCTGATAACTGCAGTAATTTACAAGAATGCTAAGTGAAAAGACTGTTCAGTTGAATTCCATGCTGTTATGGTGTCTTGACTTTTAAAAAGTCTCCTTGAGTATTTCTTTTACAGTTTTTTCTATCTTTCAAACTGTGTGTTCTACTTTTATAAGCAAATATGATTCGTCTGTTAGCAAAGTTTGAAATTTGACCATTTCAGGTTCTGATTATAAAACATTTTTCCCCCGGAGCTGTATCCAGGGTATATCAGAAGAGGGCAGTATGACATGACTTTTGTGAATATGAACACTTAGTTAAGATTTGCTTGACATTTTTGAAAACCACTGCATATCTGCATGTTTAGTTCTCAAGGCACACTATTGGAAGCTTGTGTGTTTGTGTGTATGTATGGCCTAAATCCAGCAAAATCAAACATTAAAGCAATGTCGTTTAGCCACATCTATACCTCTTCTGGGGAGCATAGGATTTAGTCTCACTGATTTCAGTAGGAATTAAAAGTCTTCAGCCTTAGAAACGCACAACACTATAGCCTACTAAATATGCTAATTTGTATATTGCTGGAAATAGAATTGAGGGAAACTGGTGGAAGATTAGGGAAGAAATAAATGTATCCTATAATGAATAGGATTTGTTATAATTGACAGCACTGCTCAGATAGCACTGTGCTTTGTGAATAACCATGGAATAAAGGTATGTTCCTTGTTCTTTGGTTCTCTCCCCTCCGCCCCCTCTCTCGCCACATATTGTGCATCTTTATTTCCTAGGAAGGAAATTGTTTATTTCTAGGTGTGGAATTTTATTGTTATACCGGGGAAATGCATCATATATGTAGAGTGGCATACCTTGTATATGCAATCTCAGTTCAACAAGGATTCACGTTTAGCTCTGTATTTGAAGATTGGTCATTGTGCTGTCAGGGCTTTTCAGCAAAACTAAATTTCTGCCAAAATATGTGTGTCTTGGTTCATCTGAGGCAATCTTACTGTGTAAGATGTACTGTTTTTGTTTTATGTAACTTATGTGAAAAAATAGCAGGCCGTATAAGCTCGTCTTTTCTTGATAGAAATTGGTTTCTGTGTCTGTAAAATTCAAATAGGAAGACACTTCTGACATTCTGTCTCATTTATGAAGTTGGTTAAATCTGAAGTAACATTTCCACTAGTGAAAATCTGTATTTATAATTCCATTGTGTTTGTAATAGACTGATAGCTCAGTCCTGGCCTTGCCTATAACTGTCGTGGTACAAGCTGTGGCAGTTACAGCAGTATCCTGTAAAAGTTAAGCAGGACACAGAGAACCTAACACATTTGCCTGTAAATACAAAGGGCATTGTTGGCTTCATGTGATTTAGTCAGCATGAGAGCTTCAGGGAGCACTTGGTGGATACAAAGGGCAGCAGCCTGTCCTAGACATGGAGGATTAAATTCAAGACTACTGATACTCTGGCCCAGGGAGTGGACTATGTGCTCAGTGCTGCAGCAGTGGAATGGGTATTTTCCCCCATACTACCAGCATAGAAAGTTCTGATTTCTCTCTCTTTATATAGCAAAATATAGGACTGGATTGTAAAATGTATAGCTGATTTTTAATAGGCTTCCACCTATAGGGGTCCTTCTCTCCAGAACAGCTGGAGAAGCCCTGTTTAAAGCACCCCTATGAAATGATCAATTGCTATAGCAGGACTTTCTCCAAAGCTTGTAGTCCCAGCAATTGCTTACCTTAAGAGGCTTGCAGATATCCTGTGCTACAAGTTTTAAAAGACAGTGTTGATGTATTTTCATTGCTCAAAAGCCGTCAGGCATTTCTTAAGAGCTCTGTCCTGATTTCCCCGGTTTAGAAGAGTTTTGAAGTGGCTCTTATGATATTTTAACTCTTGTATGTTAATGGAAGGTTGTTCTTATTCTAATATTGCTTTTGTAAGCCACCTTGACCATTTATATTGGTTCCCTGGGCTAAAAATAAAATACATTTCATCTTTTAAAATGGTTCAGCATTCCGGTTTATGTAAGCTGCTATGTGCAATATCTTAGCCCAATTTTCAGTTTTATGTGTCCCATTAACTTTCTTACTACTACCTTGTTTGGATGCAATCATCCAATTGCAGGGATAGAGAATTTAAATTTTACTCTGTGATGTAGTGGGTCTGAGTATTGATCAGAACCAGTTGCTTAGGCAGAAAAGAGTCAGATTAGCTATTACACAGCAGAGTGGAATGGGTGTTGTTAGGACCCACCCTTTCCTAACTCTGAGAATCATCCAAAATTTAGAAATAGGGAACAGCAGAGTTAAATCTAAACTTGGGGTTTGAAATGTAAATAGTGAACTGGTTCGTCGAGTTCTTACAGTGCAAGGGGTGTTTGGGACCATTGTGCTTGAGAGGGAAATTGGCAAGGGGCTGCACACTTCTGAATGATGTGTAAAGTCAAACACTTCATCCTGTGAGAACATGCCTCTATGAAACACTGCTCCTTTGAGAAATGGAGACAGATATACTTTGTGGCTTCTGCACAGTTCTGAGACCCAGGGGCTACTACGTAGCTGCTTTGGTTTAGGAGTCAGTGTTTTCCAGTGACCTGGCTCCCCGTTTTACCAAGCAGATTCTAGATTTACACTTCTAAAGAACAGCTAGCCTGAGGTGCTACTGGAACTCCTCTGTGTCTATGATGAAACCTATTTGAGGTCTCCTGTAGGGAGAGGCACTAGTACCCATAGATGTCAACTGTAAAAGCAGTGTGTAAATTTTTTTAAATCTTTAAAATGTTAAACATGTAGTCAAACCCCCCATGTAGTTGCAGGCTTTCTCCTAAGCCATACCTGGAGGCTATTCAACAGTCATAACACATTTATTTAATTGAGTAAATTTTCTATTTAAATTCAAGGGAGCTTGAATTCGAGGGGAGGAATAAGAAATTAAAAGTGAAAGAATTTAAAGTGGCAGATTAAAACCAAGTACAAGAGGACTATCCAGGATAACTGCCATGAAAACATACAACTAATTGTGTACCTGCACAAATGTTCTGTTTTAGGTTTGCAGAGAACTGAACTGCATAAATGTTTCCAAGGTAAAATACCTTCTCCAGCAGTCATGCCTTACCCACAAGACAGGCCTTGGATTTTGTCATCTTTGCCATTTGCCACCTGACTTGAGCACCAGGCCAGGTAGTTTTGTGACTATACAGTAGCCATAGTTGGGAGAAAATGTTGGGGCTTCCCCAGAGGAAACTAGGAATCAGGATCACCTGACAAACCTGATTTTTTTTTTGGGGGGGGGTTACTGGCTTTTATACAGAGTACAGGGAAGATAAGGCAGTGTCTCTGACCTGCATCTTCATTTAAACCATCAGTTGGTGGGGGTTATTTCACAAGTAGAGGCCACCAGCTGTACAAAAAAGTAACTCAGTGAACAGGCCTGAATTGTCTACAAGCGACCTCAGGTGCTAGCCGAACAATGAGATCTGTGATCACTGCACAGAATGACAGTATGAGCGGAACAGTAGGTGTTCAAGCAGGCCTATTCCACAGTTCGGTGATAACGTACCTGCTTTATGTGCAAGGGATTTCAAGTTCACTCCCCGACCAACATTTCTAGTTAAAATGATTTCAAGAAGCAGGATGTTTCCCTGATAGCATGAACAGCTATCAACACTTGCTCAGAGTAGACAATACTGGGATAACTGGTCCAGTGATCTGACTGTACGTGATAGTTCCACACATTTCAAAGGTACTAAACACAGTCCCTTAGATGCCAATAGCCTTTAGTACTATTTAGATATGCTCTGCTTCATAAACTAATTGCATAAATATAACTTAATATGTTGTCGAAGGCTTTCACGGCCGGAGTTCATTAGTTGCTGTAGATTTTCCGGGTTGTGTGGCCGTGGTTTTGGCATTGTAGAACCTTTCCTGAGGAGGTTCTTTTGTATGTGGATTGACTGTTGAAATTCTAATCTTATCTGTAGTGCTATTGTCAGATGCACAGGGAAGCCATTGAAATTCATAAACATAAGCACAATTTGAACAGGAAAGAAGAGAGTTTAAAAAGTAATAGGGCATGGTTTCCTGTCCTGAAAAACACAAAAGGCTCTACATCTGACAATAGCACTACAGATAAGATTAGAATTTCAACAGCCAGTCCACGTACAAAAGAACCTCCTCAGGAAACAAACCATATACAAAAGAACCTCCTCAGGAAAGCTTCTCCATTAGCATGTTCATAGCCTGGGGAACTCCTACAAGGTAATGACTCAGCCCTGCCCCACCTTCTGGAGTAGATATAAATTACCTGCCTACCATTTTCTTCTCACCTTGACACAGAGAATACTCCATCTTTCTGTGTTATACCTCTGAGGATGCCAGTCACAATTACTGGCGAAATGTCAGGTTCTACAAGGCCACGGCCACACAACCCGGAAAATCTACAGCAATTAATGTAACTTAAGTCTGAGAAACCCAGGGCAGAATACATAGTACTAGGCTCTGAATTAACATTTTGTTTGAATTTTTGTTTATTGATATGAT